AGATCATTAATTATTATTGTTATTAATGGTTTTATTAATGATCCCCGTGCTGCCCGCACAGCCCCTCAAGGTGAGACCAGGGATCATTAATTATTATTGTTATTAATGGCGTTATTAATGATTGCCATGCTGCTCACACAGCCCTTCAGGGTGAGACAGCAGGGATTGTTCTTTAGTCCTGTTATTGTTATTATTATTGTTATTATTATTAATATTATTATGGCTACTATTAGTTTTGTTATTACTATTACTGTTATTATTATTAGAGTTTCATTAGCCACCATTTATTACCTTAATTGGGGGTCAGGATTTGTTGTTGTTATTGGTTTTATTAATCATTGGTTATTGTTACATTATTAACGTTATTTTTTTATTTTTATGGTTTCATTTGCCAGGATTAATTGGCCATCAGGGTTTATTATTGGTTTTGGTGTTATTAATTATTAATTATTGTTGCATTATTATTATTATTGGTGATGTTATTGTAGTTTCATTAGCCTTAATTAACTTAAGTCCAACTTGATGTTAGAATTTATCATCCTTGGGATTTTTGGACGAAGCAGAAATTCCAATTCCCAGAGCAGAAATTCCAAAATTAAAAATTCCCGTGGTGACCCCAAATTTTGGGATGCAGGGGAATCTCCAAACCCCCAAATTCCCGTGGTGACCCCAAATTTTGGGATGCAGGGGAAATTCCAAACCCCCAAATTCCTGCAGTAACCTGGGAATTGTGGTGGATGTGGAATTCCCAATGAACGATCCCAAAGCAGAAATTCCAAAACCCCAAATCCCTGCACTCCCCCTGGAATTTTGGGGGTGCCCCAGACCCTCCAAGCCCCAAATCCCCCCTCTACCCCCAAATTTTGGGGGTACACCAGACCCTCAAAACCCCAAATCCCCACCCTAACCCCAGATTTTGGGGTGCACCAGACCCTCCAAACCCCACTCTAATGCCGAATTTTGAGGTGCACTGGACCCCAAACCCCCCCAACCCCAAATTTTGGGTTACACCAGACCCCAAACCCACATTAACCCCAGATTTTGGGAGGCACCAAACCTTCCAAACCCACAATAACTCAAAATTCGGTTACACCAGACCCCTAACCCCAAAATTTGGGTTACACCAGACCCCAAACCCACATTAACCCCAAATTTTGGGTTACACCAGACCCCAAACCCCC